GCTAACTGCTGGTTCCCGAAAATCTTCTATTTTTTGATATTTCATATAAATTCTTCTAGTTCTTCATTCAAAATGTTCAGGTGAAGTTTTGGAGACATGCCTTCAGTAAATTTCATCTTTGTGTCTCATAGTGGTAGTGTTGGTCATTCTTTTTTTTTTTTTTGAGAGGTTTTTGCTATAGGGCGCGTGCGCTCACCAGACAGACAGAGACAGAGAGACAGAAAGCGAGCAATCACCCCCAGGGGGGATGGCCATGCCACAATCCCTTCTCCTCCATTCTCCTCTCGGGATCTTGGGCACGCATGCACACGCGCCCGGTGTGAGTTTTAAGCCACCGGGTCCAGGACGCCAACCGCAGTCGACTACGTGGGAGTCCAGCGACATAGCCATTACACTAACTGCTGGTCCCAGTGTTGGTCATTCTTTGGTACTCCAGGTAGAATGATTTTCTGTGTTGTCTTCAGCTGCAAGATCCAGATTAAATGATACATAGGAAGCAGAATTTATGTCTGCTTCTTTTTTTGAAATGTTTACCTTTCTCTTACATTTGGTTCTTGTTCTTTTTCATTTAATTGGGAAACATTCTATCATCTTAAATTAATTTTGTTCTTGAAACTTTCTACTGGACAATTCTTGGTCCTGTCTTTAGTACTTTTTTCAGAAGAAGTTTCAGACTGAGAGGCCTCTCCTAGAACATCCTGTGCACTAAAAAAGAAGTAAAAATATTTTTCTTCCAGTGCTTTCTTCTAAGACTCATGTCTCCAGATACCTCTTTCAATTCACTTCTTTGGAGAGATTTTCACTGTAGGGCGCGTGCGCTCGCCAGACAGACAGAGAGAGACATAGAGACAGAAAGCGAGAAATCACCCCCCAGGGGGGATGGTCACGCCGCACGCAATCCCTTCTCCTCCATTCTCCTCTCGGGAGCTTGGGCACGCATGCACACGCGCCCGGCGTGAGTTTTAAGCCACCGGGTCCGGGACACGAACCGCGGTCGAATACGTGGGAGTCCAGCGACATAGCCATTACGCTATCTGCTGGTTCCCTCAATTCACTTCTTGAGGTCCAAGGTCTTCTGGTGGAAGTTGTTGCTCTCCTCCAGTTTGAATTGGAAATATGGGTGCAGCCTGGGGAGCCCTGACCACCCTTCCCCTAAGCTGGCCACTACTACCAGCCCAGGCTGAGCCTTGGCAGTGTAGCACTTGAGCAGGTGAAATTCATATTTTTAACTAAGTTTTAATTTCTCATATGGTTTCTATTGATAAGAATGACCTAAATAAGCAAAAGTTTTTTGGAGTCTTTAACAAAATTTAAGAGCATAAATGGGTCCTTGGGACCAGCAGATGGCGTAATGGCTCCATTGCTGGAATCCTATGTAGTCAACTGCGGTTCTAGTCCCAGATCAGGTGGCTTAAATTCACTCCAGGGGAACCAGCAGTTAGCGTAATGGCTATGTCACTGTACTCCCATGTAGTCAACCGTGGTTCGCATCCCGGACCCGGTGGCTTAAAACTCACGCTGGGCGCGTGTGCGTGCGTGCCCAAGATCCTGAGAGGAGAATGGAGGAAAAGGGATTGTGGCGTGACCATCCCCCCTGGGGGGTGATTTCTCGCTTTCTGTCTCTATGTCTCTCTCTGTCTGTCTGGCGAGTGCATGCGCCCTATGGCGAAAAATCTCTCCAAAAAAAAAAAAAATTCACTCCAGGCACGTGTGCACCTGCATGCCCAAGAGGAGAATGCCCTATGGCGAATTGTGGCATGACCATCCCCTCTGGGGGGGGATTTCTCGCTTTCTGTCTCTATGTCTCTCTCTGTCTGTCTGGCGAGTGCATGCGCCCTATGGCGAAAAATCTCTCCAAAAAAAAAAAAAAAGGCGCATAAATGGGTCCTAAGTAGAAAATGGCCCAGAGTCAGTGCTCTAGGGCACTTTACCTGAGCTTGACTTCACTTACAATTCATTGCAGTCCATACACAACGAAGATATATGTTAAGTTATAGATGTTAGTCCAGTAGTGGTGCAAATCATTTCTATTCACTAGAAAAGGTAACATCTGGTTTTATCATCTTGTGGAACACAGATGCATTGTACCCAACCTAACCGTATTGTATTTTTAAAATCTCCATTAATATCCAGTTCCTCAAAATGCCCTTTGAGTCAGCTTTGCCATTACAGTGGGTCCTTCACTCATTGATTTGCTGACTAAATGTTTGTTATGTATTTGTATGAGTTCTGTTTTCAACTTTTCCCAGATTATCCTTGACAGGCACTTAGGACTGCCATGTGATGTGTATATATGTACACACATACTGTGCATGTACACGCAGAGATGTGTGTATTTCATAGTGACAGCATGCTAGGCGCTCTACTCCGCAACCAGGTCTTTCATTTAATGTTAGTGACGCTCTCATTTTACGTTTCTTCTCCGCTTATTTCGGCCACCTGACATTTCTTCTTATGAAACGTCTTGGGGTACACTCTAAGCTCTGTTATTTGCAAGGGATCCATACAGCCACAGAAATGCATTTTCCTTTCTCTTGTCCACTAGCAAAGAGCTCACGGTGTATCCCGCTATAAACAGGATTTGGAACACCTGGGCGAGAATCCAATCCAGAAAGTAACGGAGATCCACAGACCACATGACAAAGCCGAGCGATCACAGGATGCTGCCCTCACAACTCTTCCGCCCATTTCATACATGGCCGCTGGGCGCCCCTCAGAGCTACAGCCACTGCCCTCTCTGCGTGCAGTGACCACGCTGGGACCTACGTTGAGCTCCTTTAGCTAGGGCGGTCCGGTGGCAGAGCCCGGCTGCGACGCCAGGAAGAGCAGTCTTGAGCTAGCTGAGGAACTAGAGCGGACCGGAAGTTCGGGGGCCGAGCCATCCGGCGGATCCGTTGGCCGGTGCACGCCGGAAGTGGCGGGGGGGCCGGCCTGAGGCGGCGCCCGCAGTGTGCAGTGTCCCTCGGGCGGGCGGCGACATGGAGCCCGGGGCGGCCGAGCTGTACGACCAGGCCCTGCTGGGCATCCTGCAGCATGTGGGCAACGTCCAGGACTTCCTGCGCGTGCTCTTCGGTTTCCTCTACCGCAAGACCGATTTCTACCGCCTGCTGCGCCACCCGTCTGACCGCATGGGCTTCCCGCCCGGGGCCGCACAGGCCCTGGTGCTGCAGGTGAGGAGGCTGCCGATCTGCCGGCGGGGGGCGCCGCTCGCGATCAAGCCCAGGATCCTCCCGTCCAGCCCTCCTGCCTCGGCCCCAGACCCCCAGTCCCTAGTCACCTGGTCCCCTGTTCCACTCCTCTCCTGTTATCCGCGTCTCAGGTATCCCCCTCCCTCCGGGTCTCGGCCTCTCCATCCTCTCCGGGCTCCTGCTCTTGGCCTCTGGCCCCGCCCCTGCCCCGCCCTCTTGACTACCAACTGCCGGGGTCTCGTATACCTCCAGACCTCAGTCACCGCCGTCAGGTACACTCCCCGCCTCGCCCCGGGTCCTCACCCTGCCCTGTCACTCCGGGCCCGTAATCCTGAATCTCTCCCCTGGCAGACCTTGGTCATCCCAGGTCTGGTACCTCCCTCCCCTGTCCTTGCCCCCTTCTGCCTCCTACCCCTGCCGAACTCGGGCTCGCCCCTCCGTGCTCTCCTGCCTGCCTCTTTTCTTTGGGGTGGAGGGCTGGCCTTCCAGGACCTGAGTACTTGGAGGCAGCGGATCCTGTGTAGGTGGTTGTGCAGCGGGTGCAGCGCGGCCCCCAGTACAGGCGGAAGCGTCAGGAGCTAGGGCCCTGCCAGCTGAGGCTGCTGGATGGAGGACAACGCTTCCAACAACTGGACACCTGCCTACCCAGAACTCCAAGGGGAGATGGAGGCTTTGTGTTAATCAGTAGGTGTGGCGGCTGGTTCCAAATGTGACTTCCCAGGTCAAAGGCAGTTACTGTAGCGATTTAAGTCTAATTTCCCTTTAGACTTAAATCTGTGCATAACAGGTTAAATTCATTGTGTGTTTGAAGCTTTATTTATTCAGTGAAGTTGACTGGGTACCTTTGAATGTAGTAATAAACATTTGTTGAATGCATTTTACACTCAGTTGCCTCGGCACTGGTGATGTGGGAGTTTAAGCAGTGGTCTCTCTCCTGTGACTCACAGTTAAGGTAAAACACAGAAAGTAATGAAGAACTCTGCACAGCCGATTATGTGATAGAGCCTGTTGGAAAAACAAGAATAGAAATGATGTTTGAAGCTGGCATCTGTAATCCCAGCTATGCATGAGGCTGAGGAGAAAAAAAAGATGGTTGTGAAATCAAGAAGTTTTTGTAGAAGCGGAATTTCTGATGAGATCAAAAGTAAGTGTTTAGCCAAGCCTTGAAACTGTAGGAACCTGAGAAGATAGCAATGCTGAGGATACCTTCCACAGCTTGCTAGCACATTGCAGTTTTATAGAGTGCTTCAGATGTTGCCTCCTGATGTCTTATTGCAGGCTGAGGCTTGGTGAGTGTTACATTTCTGAGTTCCTGCAGGAGGAAACCAAAGCTTAGAATGACTATGGTCAAATGAGGTATAGGGGTGGGGCCCCCTTGGAGTTTAATTTCAGACCTTAAGGCTTTTCCTCATCTGTATCAGTGGCCCAGGTGCCACCTGAGTGATCAGATTGCTCTTGGAGTTCGATTTAGCAAGATCTGTGGGTGTTTAATGAAGTCTTTCCATTTGATCATCACAATTGTGTCTGTGAAATAGATAAGGTTGAATTTTTTTTTTTTTTTTTTTTTTTTAATGTACCAATTGAGCAAGGTTAAGTGATTTGACTGAGAACCCACAGCTAGTTTATCACAGAGCTGGAACCCAAAATTTCATTTTTGTGATTCCAGGTCTTCCTCCTCTATCCTTTAACCATTCTGCAATAGAATAAGAATCATTTTATCTAAGACGATTGTAGCTTGCAGAAAGGTGTGGAGGAGAAATGAGCATTGACTGAGTCCCTAGTATCTAGTATCAGGTGTTTACATTCTGGGGTATTATCTTACCCTTTACCATAACCTGAGAAGTTGGTTTGTGTCTTTGTTTCACAGATGAACTAACAGAGATGTTGCATTCATTTATTGGGTAACTGAATTTGTAAAACATCTCTAGGCCTAAGTGGTTAAGGGAGCCGCATCCCCCATTACCAACTGTGTGGTTTGAGTCGTGGACCTGGTGGCTTGAAAACACTCTGGGCTGTGTGTGTGCATGTGTGTGATGTGTGTGTGTGTGTGTGTGTGTGTGTGTGTGCCTCAAATCCCAAAAGAGTGCAGAAATGGAGGAGAAGCTATTGTAGCATGATCATGCCTTATTTGGGGGATGCTTTCTTCCTCTCTCTCAGTCTCTGTTACTAGTGAATGCTCTAGCCCTCTGGCAAATAAAGTAAAATCACTTCTGATAGGGGGCCAGCCCCATGGCCTAGTGGTTAAGAAAATCAGATTCCATATGGCTGACCACACAGTTTCAATCCTGGACCTGGCAGCTTGAAAAACACAATAGGCTTGTATGTGTGCCTGCATGCCTCAAATCCTGACATCTTGGAGAAATGGAGGAGAAGAGATTGCACAGGGGGTTATTTTCTCTCTTCCTTTCTCTAGCTAGCACATATGCCCTCTGGCAGAAAACAAACAAAAAACATCTCTAATTGATTGAGACACTCCTGTTGGTTGGTCTTGTGTGACCAGTTTAATGAAGTGGTGGAGGTGTAGGGAGCAGGAACAGAGGAAGCGATGAGTTTGAGATGACCCAGAGTTCTGACTGGGTTGACTGTATGATAATGTATTGACTGAACTGTCCCTTGGGTTAGAGGAGTAAGTTTTGTTTTTCACAAGTCGAATTTGTGAGATCACAGAAATCTGACTTGTAGACTATTGGAATCTTGGGGATGGGTCTTACTGGAAGTGGAGGAACAGGAGCACTTTGAGTAAAGAAGAAGAGGACAGACCTTGGAAAACAACCACAGAGAAAAGCAGTGTGTGTCACAGAAACCGAGAGGACAGTCTTTAACAGATGGCCAAGAGGGGTGTTGTGCTTTCTGGAGGTGGTTCTGTCAGCATTGCCTGAGGATTTTTTTTATTTTTTGGAGAGGTTTTCGCTATAGGACGCGTGCGCTCGCCAGACAGACAGAGACATAGAGACAGAAAGCGAGAAATCACCCCCCAGAGGGGGTGTTCACGCCGCAGTCCCTTCTCCTCCATTCTCCTCTCGGGATCTTGGGCACGCACGCACACGCGCCCGGCGTGAGTTTTAAGCCACTGGGTCCGGGACGCGAACCGCGGTGGACTACGTGGGAGTCCAGTGACATAGCCATTACGCTAACTGCTGGTTCCCCTTTCTTTTCTTTTCTTTTTTTTTTTTTTTTTGAGAAGGAATT